AAGAAAGAAAGAAAGAAGGAAGGAAGGAAGGAAGGAAGGAAGGCACGCACCCACGCCCGCCCGCACGCCCGCACACAACCAAACCCCACGGGGGGGGAGAATGAAGGCTAGGAACTAGGAGGAAGGGTATGGCCAATTGAACCAGCACACAGATCCCATACAAGTGGATAGACAGGTTGAGTAGTTTCTGTTGTTCACAACACCACCATAAGTCAGCCTAGGAGACATTGAGTGCAGAGTAATTGTTATCTGTCCTTTTGTTATTTGAAATATTCAGGGCATAGGCATAGGTTCCAAGAACCCCAACTGAGCACGGGAATCCATTTCCCTGCCATGTGATACATGAGGAATAATTTCCTATGGAGAAAAAAAGGAAGCACAGGAGAGACAGACTCTGGGAAGTCTTAATCTCCAAATAGCTTCGTTCTGAAACGAGGCTAGCACACAATTACCCTCGTGGGGTCTCTGTCCTGTGCTAGGGGAAAGGATATTACTTGAGCCTGGGCATGGATGTTCTGCTCTGCAAGCCTGACAATCACTCTTGTCTAGTGTTCCTGCACTGTAAATTTGATGCTTTTTACCCAAGCATTTAATTCTTTATGTCAAGCTTTGATTTTTTTCTATCCGAAACCCCATTCAGATAATAGTAATCTTCCCTACATACATTAGACTCCAGAAGTTGAACTAACCAGGGACTCCCAAAATGGGGAATTTTAAAGTTGGATTAGTTCAATAGGTTTTCTGTCTGAATTCCAGACTAGAAAAATTCTTTCTATTAAGAGGCTTTCCCCCGCACAAGAACACCAGCATCATAAGCAGCATATTTAGTAAAAGTAAAAAGAACATCACCTCCACCAACTTTGTGTTCCTTGTGCAGACATCATCAGGTTGTCTTTAGAAGGAACTGAAAGGCTCCTTGGATGACCCAAATGCTTCTCTTTGATCTCCCTCTTGGGTGTTGGAGCCTCCTTAATTGACTTCTTGACTCAGGAGTAGTAAATTCACTTCTTTCAGCAATCCATACAGTTGTGGGGTTGGCAGTATTTATGAAGACACTCCCCTAATGGATGGGACCTTGTCCTCTCTCCAGGCTTTTATCAGCACCAGGTCAGCAGGTTGAAACTTATACACTGCAAACTCTCTTGGACAAGAAGTCCCTGGGTTCTAAAGGAGGATAATATAGAATAATTCATCAGTAGACAGCTTTTCAAAAAATTAACCTTGTGTTTCCATGGTCACAGATCGGAGGCACAATTTTAAAAAGGGTGTGTCTTTTTTCCATCATCTTTATGCTTCATAAAAATACACATTCATCTAGTAAAAAATAAGCATACTTTAAAAAATTTTAAGCACATACATTTTTCAATGTCACAAAGTCTATTTTCGTGTATAAAGTCTATTTGTAGTATAAAAAGTATAAAAGGGTCTTTAGTTTACCAAGGACTTAACATTGAACTAACTTGTTGTTCTTGCAATTAACCAAGTTTTTTTTCCAGTCTAAAGGGGGCTTAAGATGCATGCTGTCTTTTTAAGATTTTTAAAGAATTGTTACAATCAAAACAAAACCTATAAATACAGAGTTCCAGAGCTACCCAGATCAACCAACCGGTCTTTGATGATATTAGGCGTCGCCTCTCAATAGGACCGCAGTGTTGATCAACACTCTTTGCCTAAAGTGTTGGCTTTCATTAGTGAACAATCAGAAATTATCAACAGTTAAGCCTTCCAAGTCTTATGAAGAAGTCTTAGTAAAATGAATAAAAATGAGCAAATTCTATTTCTCCTGATAATAAATGAAGCTATATATCTTCCCCACTTACACAAGCTCCACTATCACTTAGCTAAGAGTGTGAAAAGCAAGAGAGTATTTTGCAAAACTCCACAGTAACTGTGGTGTAAGTTATAAGACTAAACTCATAGTCAATTGTAGCCTTTCTGTGATGATTTAAAAAAAAAAATCAAGAAAGAGCACCACCTACTGAATAAATTCAACAAAGTGTTTATAGATTTGTCATCAAACTAAGTAATCATGCTTTCTTCTAAGATGAACATTGGCTAGAGTCCACCCTCTAAGGGGACAGATGACTTACCAAAGAGATGCCATCTTCCTCTGGGTCTCATCTTTTCTTGGAGGACAAAGTCCAAACTGTTGGTGACCTTTTGACTCTCTTGTCCTCATTGGTGTAAGTATTGGTTGTTGAACACACAGAAAAGCAGATTTATCAATCTGATAATGAAACCTTTGTGTAACATTTAGATAAAAAGGTGTTTTTAAAAGAAAAAATAAGGTCAGTTTAAATAAATTAATTTTTATGACTCAATTTCCCCAAGTTACTAAAGTCTAACAAAGTCAAGAAAAGCTCTAGTTAGACACATTCTTTGTCTTTTTAAGCCAGTTATTTCCAGTGTTACCATGAGAAGATCACAATAAGCTCAGGAATGGTGTTCATTAGACACATCATCCTGAAGTCTCGTTTTCCATAAATCTCGTGTCAGAACTCCTGTGGCTTGACTTTGAAGCTTTCTGTGCTTTTTTCTCCCCTTTCCTTCTTATTTGTAGGACAAAAATCTTAGTTTATCACACAAAACCAAGCGTGGCCCTGCAAGGCCCTCCATATAGGTGATGGCTAACTCAGTCTTCTTCCTGATGGTCGCCTTCTTCCTTTGCATGTCCAAGGCTACTTTTTTTTGTACCATCTCAAGCAGGGAATTCTCCAGCAGCTAATCGTTAGACAGAGGTGCCAATGTCTTCACATTCCTATTTACATGGATGGGACAGGATCGAGTGAGGAGGTCCCTGTGGGAGCCATCATCCTTGCCCACTCCCTCCATTCCTGCCGAATTACGCAGTGCCTCTGAGTCCTTCTGATCACTCTCCAACAGCCTGTTGGGTGAAGCGAGGAAGAGATGTTCTCACTCTGAGGCTGCTTCTGTCTTCTTCAAGGACACAAAGAAAGTCCCAAAGGAGCTAAGTTCCGCATCCCTGGCCACCTTGGTGCCACTAGGTCAAAGTGAGGAAGAACTTGCACTAAATCCTGCAGAGCTGGGCAGTTGCTGGAAAACGTTATCCTCAGACTTCCTCTTCTCTTGTCCCGTGGACGGCTGAGTGGGTAAGTATGCCAGGGACCCCCTACCCAGCCCCTACTAGAATAAGTAGGCTGAGAAGCATGAAGTCCTAGTGTAAAGGAATACAAAGGTGTATGGAAATATGTGCTTCCTAAAGGGTAGTAATCTCAGAGAAATGGACACTTAGCCATACCTTTATTTAGAGCCTTTCAAATAAGAACAAAAAAAAAAAGAAAGCAATCTCTTGTCTCTCCCAAGCCCTGGGTCATCTGTTTATAATTTGTCCTCTCTCTTCTCATGCCTGAATCTGTTCAGGAATGTCCCATTCCAGACTTTCTGGGATGGAGTATGTGTCACAGTGGCAGCCATTGTAATGCCTCACATCCTAGGTGAGACATCTCTTAAATGAGTCAGGCAGGAGTGCCCCTGAGCCGTTAATGCTGCTTCATGCTGCTCCATCATGGGATAGGAGGCTCGGGCGGTGAAACAGTGTGACTCAAGAAACTCGAAGGTGATGCAGTTCAATGCCCAGTTTGGTGAAAGATAAAAGCAGAGATGTAGAATACCAATACCAATGATCTGGAGTGCATCACTTTCTCACTTACGGTCTTTTCAGAGACATCTCTCAGTTGATTCTTAAATATCCTCATTGGGAAAGTTAAGACCAATCAAACTGGGAGACTGGACATGCCTAAGGTCCTGAGCAGTCTAATATGAGGCAAGCAGGCCCATGACTGTGTGAGATCATGCATACTTTAGCACTGTACAGTGTCTGTCTGATCTATCCCTCCTTTTGAAGTAGACACTCCAGCCAACCCACAGTGTATATCTGTCAGACTACTGGGGCTTTTCCTAAAAGAATAAATGATGTGGGATTCCTCTCTGTATGCTGTGAATACCATTGGCTTAAAAAAAAAACTGGTTTGACATGATAGGGTAGATGGGGGGGGGGGACTAAACTGAATGTTGGGAGAAAGGAAACGGAGTCAAGAGAAGCATGGATCAGCCCCTGAGAGAGACACTCCAAAACTTCGCTGGTAGTGATGCACAAATTAATGGAGATGGATTAAACTAAGATGTAAGAGTTAGCCAATAAGAAGCTAGAGCTAATGGGCCAAACAGTGATCTAAATAATATAGTTTCTATGTGGTTATTTCAGGTCTGAGCTGCCGGGTGGCCAGGAAACGAACAAGCAGCCTCTCACAACAGCCAAACTTTAGCCACTCAAGTCTAAGTACGGCCCAGAGAAATCAATAGCCAGAATTTGAAGGTTGAGAAGGCCTGAGTTGTGTTCTCTCTCTCCAGTCAGTAATCTTTACCACCTGGAGCTTGCTAGCCCTCAGACTTTCAAGGGCTAGTTGTAAAATAGGGACTGTGATACCTATTTGTAGATTTTCAGATGAAAAGTAAATAAAATAAGGCCTGGAAGACAGCTAAGTCCTAGCTTTGGAGTCAATAGACTAGTGTTCAAGTCTCAAGTGCCATTTGCAGCTACTTGACCTTGAGTAAGTCACATGACCACCCTATGTTTTAGACTCAGTGTAAGATGCAGATACAATTCACACCTGCTCTATAGGGCTCTATAGGGTGTGGGAATACATGCGACATAGCTCGGCGAAATGCTTGGCATGAAATAAGCGCTTGATACTGAGTGAAGCCCTGAAATGATTCCCATTGGCGTGGCAAGGATGTACAATGAAGACAGCCTAGCTCTAGTACCCAGGCTCTTCGGAATTAGGAAATACTGGCTCCCACACATGCCAAGCACCATGAACCAACAACCGGGTGAGTGGCATTCTTGAAATAGCTAGGCGATTATTCCCAAAGCCCCTTCTAGTTTTCAAGCATCCACGCCACTCACCCACCTTCTTGGCTATAACCCAAAGATCTTCAGATGAAGGAGCATGGGGGCGGGAATGTGACTTTCCATATAAGAGAAATCAACACAATCACGTGCGCGCGCCCCCACACACATACAGACACACACACACAAAGCCTGGAGGTAACTCTGGCCCTGCTCTAAAGCAAGGTGGTTTCATCTTCAGAGCTCAGAGCGGAGGAGTGCCAGGACAGGAAGAGACTAACTAAGAAGGAACACTAAGACACAGACTGATGAAGCAACTTGCCCAAAGGCTGCTTAGCCAGATAGTGCCGGAACCAGATCTGGAGCCCCAGTGTCCCTACTTCCAACCCCAGGCTCCTGGCTACGCCCCCTTTAATTAGATTAATTAACTAATTAACTAATTCTTTTCAAAACCATTAGGCCCGGAAGTGTCTTCACTAAGCTGTCAGTGTCCCCAAGGGCCCTCTCTCAGTTCCTCTTGAGGACAAGTCATTCAGGGAGAATAACCTACTCCGTGTGTTGAAGCATCATCGGAGGGCACTCTTTCCGAGCAGAACCGTCAACAGCAGCAGAATGGAAATGCCGATCCAGCAGCACATCCCCTGGGCCCCACCTCCTGCCAACCCTGATCTCTCTTGGTATTTGGATGTTGGAAGCGTCAGGCTGAGGAGTCCGATGTTCTCCGATAAGCACATTCCAGATGTTGCTGGGGCACTGCCAAAGGTGTGGTCCAGTCAACCCACACCAGAGCTTTGGAGAAACAGCCTGCTCTAATCCATAGTCAGGTTTATTGGGAGGAACCTTTCCCACCTGGTGCTCTGGAGAATTCCAAGCCGTGGCTTGCTCTCTCTGTCCTCTCTACCAATAGGTCATTGTCTTAGCTGGGCAACGTACTTGGGAACTCCAGAATGTTGAAGGTGGTGGCGTCCTAGACACGCTCTGATAGAAGAGACTGCCTACCTTCCCAGGGCCTCACAGAGGATAGAGGCTTGTCCAAAGTCACACCCGGGGCTCACGGTGAGTTTTCTTTCATTTGACTCCAGAGCAGTCGCCTGAGCAACCATTTCATGTAACAGAAAATGTGACAAAAAAGACAGACAGGAGAAGAGGGGGGAAGCAAGGAGAAAAAAAGGCAGCCCCAGTGTGAACACAACACCCAGTCTCTGTGACTGAGCTGTAGTCTCCTTGTCGCCCCAGAGGCTCTGTCCGTCCCTGAGAACACTAATCTCTCAGTGTCACAGACCCAAGTCAACTCTCCCAGCACAGAGCTCCCTATCTCTGGGACACAGAGTTACTGAGAAGAAATGTGGGGCCTTTCTCCCCTTTGTATGTCCCACTGCTGAAGGTGGACTGTTCGTCAGGTGTGTCAACTGAGGGACGGCCTCACTCACATCAGGAGACACACAGGTCAGATTCAAGGAAGCAGTTCCACGCGTGATGAATAACATTACTAAGGAGTTTCTTCTGTTGGAGGTAATCTAGTTAAAACATTCGATGTGGTTCTCTGGGATGGATAGTTCTGGACGGGCAGAACCTGTAGATTAAATCTGAAAAGTTTGTTCCAAAAAATGCGAGTTTGGGGAATTTTCGTAGATTTTGTTTTTTTGTTTTGTTTACTGGTTGGTCTGAGGGTAGGGTCCTACACTAACACAGTTCTGGGAAAGATCCAGGAAAGCATAAACAAAGCACCCATCAGCCACCACCGGACAAAGTTCCTAGTTGGCATGCACATGACCAGAACAAATGGTGTTTTCTGATTCACCCTTAGCAGCCGCTGCTCTGAGGAAGTTTTCCATCTTGAACAGCAGAGATGGCACTGCCACCTCCAAGAACCAGACTCCGGAAGCTACCCAGCCACCAGACTGTGAGAAAGTGCTATTTTGAAACAAAATCTTGAAGTGTAAAAAGAGACGTGCTTTCCAGAGGTTCCTGCAGCTTTGTAAACAACAGAAAAGGGGCAAGGACGGTGTATCCTCCCCCTTCACTCCTTTCCTCCCTCCCCAGCTCTGACCATAAATGCT